TRTRGTGGCGACCCGCGACCATGGAGATATAAACAGCTTTTTATAAGGTAAAAATAATAAAACAAGGTCTTTGTCTGCAATGATTAGACATGTTTTTCAGGGGTAGAATAACCATTGTTTAGGTTGTCCGAGACAACCTATTTTCGTTTCAGACAACCAGATCAAGAATAAAAGAACTTGATTAAAATTCTCTGCCGCGGGTGTCCATCATTTGTAAAAATGAAAAGGAGAAAAAAACTTGGTAAAACCGAACAGAATACTAAACTGTAACTTTTAATAAGGTCATGTACACAGTATACTCCTATTTAAGTGAAAATGTTTGACCTATGAGCAGAAAGAAGCTTATGAATGGTGAACTTTATTTCAAAAGAAGAGAATGAGGAAATTTTATTCATGCAGCTCCTGTCAACCTGGCTGACTGAGAACAATTATATATAATAAACTTTGCCGACAGAAGAATATACTTGTTAAATTACATTTTTCTTGAGATTCTTTTGGACAACCAAAATGTTTTGCGGACAACCAGGTTTTGTCAACAGGTTGTCCGCTGGACAACCCTGTTTTTTATTATTGTCATTAGTGATTATCTCAATTTCGGCTAAAAGAATTGACAAAATCCTACACACTGTGCCTTTAAGTAATTCTTTTTCAGCTCATGTTTGACTTCTACTCCTTATATTTTTACACAAGTATCTGTACTTTGAACTGCATACATTTTTAAAAAGGTAAGAAGTAGAAAGTCGTTACTCGCATTTTATTCTGGCTCGTTATTGTTAAAAAAATACCAGCATGTCCATTTTAGCACCTCTGGGTTAGAGAAAGTTTTACTGTAAATAAAAAATATGGGTTTATAAAATATGCAAAGCATTGCTCTTGTTCCCATTTATAGTTTACACAACATCTTTTCAGAATCAAGACTCGTACTTCCCTAAATGCATCTCTTTTGGTTTTGCCACTCACAAAATCTTGCTGGATATCTGTGAAGTCTTTGCCGTATTTCTCGAGCGCCTCTTCAAACAGGTTGGCCTCTGACGCGCTCCACTCCTCCATTTCATCCCTGCAGAGAACAGGCCCACCCTGAGGCACCAGCGCTGCAATGGCTCGAGTCATGTCATAGCCGTTAGCGTGGAGGGTGTCCATAGCGTGAAACTTGACACAAGAAAGTGTGAAAGAAGGCCGTTTAAATAAATTATGCTCAGATAATATTTGTGATGCAGCCTTTCAGGGTTCGACAAGTTTTCTGCCCAACATGAAAGGTTACTTGACCAAAACAAGAATGTCCAAAATTTGATAAAATATTAGAAAAACGTGTACTGGACAAACTAATTATATTTATACAGAAATATTAACATGGCTACACACAGGTATATAACATATGACATCTGATTAAACAGATGCAAACATTGCTGACAGTTAAAAAGAAAAACTACAGTGCGTGAACAACTACAGTTGTTGTTTATATGATTCATTATGCAGAGCTAGAGTAACTTATAACACTGATGCTACAGAGGTTGCTGATTTTGTAGCACATAACAAAATGTTGTAGGACCAGAATAAATGTTAGTTACAATGTCTTAAAAACCAAAAGTAGTACACATCATTACTTAAACACAATGAAAAGACAGAGCACTGAAAGTTTTGTTCAATTCCATTAAACAGTTTTCAACATTCAATGGGTTTTGGGAAAAAATATATTTTAGTGTATTCAAGCCAAAATAGAAAAAATGGCATTTTTGAGACCTCTAAAGTTTTTGTGTTATCTCATTACCACAAATTTTGATTTTTTGCTAAAGTACTTCGTAGGTAGAACACCTCTTAATTTTTAATTTTTTATTAAATTATTAGGTAAATGCTGAAAGATATATATATATATATATATATATATATATATATATATAAATGGGGGCAGATGTTACAAGATTTTTTCTTCTTTCTGCTCCTTTTCATTTGACCATGCTGTGTTGTGTTTTTTCTGTTTGACGCAACAAAATTATTATTTGTATTGTTTTAATTGATGTTCGATTGAAATAAAGTATTAAAAATAAAAAATAAATAAGGTACTTGGCTCGCTTGGACAAAAGCTATTTAGCCTTAAAAATGCCTTTTAGACTAATTTTGAAAGTGGGGAAAAAAGGTGGGAAAATGACTAAATTGTCCTATTATTACAGCAGGGGGGAGAAATGATGATTTATCCTCTGTCTACATGCTTTAAAATGCTATTCATTTATTTTCATAATTTTTTGATTTAATGGATATTATCAAAAAAATATAAATTTTTGTCCATGCCTGGTTGGGCAGGGACCGGGATCAGTCCTGCAGTGGTATTTGTCGTATCCTGCAGCCTTTGTGCAACGTTTTAGTTTGTTAAAGGGATCACATTTGGGGCTAAACATGCTTGGACCATGCCTGTACGGCCTATGTGTTTGTTAATATAAGCAGCTATAAACCTAAAGCTTTTACAAACCCAAAGCTAAAGCTTTTGTATATTACATTTGACTCGACTAGTAATCAACAGTACTCTTTAAATCTTTAGGTGGTGATGCTGATCTAACTAATGCGTATCTCACCAATGTGATGTCCCTGGACGCTGCAGCAGCACTCATATGAAGGCTAGGCTGCCGGACAGAACTGCTGCAGTCCAAAGCTCTGGCAAACGTACCCACTGACCTAAGAGAGAACATAATGAGACACACAGGAACGATCTTTATCCAACTCGGCTTAATAAACTGTGCAAAAATGTTTTTGTGATCATTTGTGTTCATGTGTTCAAGGGTTCTGATGTATAAACATCCAAACACTCCTATTAGTATTCAGAAATAAGGACTTTCATAATATTTCTGGCAAATGTGTAATGCGAAACTGACACTGGTGAAATTTAATCAGGGCCAGACTTTTTCTGAGCAGACTCTGCAGGAGCTAGCGTCTGATGCAGTAAGTAAAAAAATAAATAAAAGATGATGCATGTAAAGCTTCACAGCTGTCAAGCCTGAAATTAAGAGGTTAGTTTCAGAGAGAAAATGTATTTTCTCTCAATAATCAAACATTTATATACAGTGGTTTGCAAAAGTATTCATACCCCTTGAACTTTTCCATATTTTGTCACATTACAACCACAAACATAAATATATTTCACTGGAATTTAATGTGAAAGACCAACACAAAGTGGTATACAATTGTGAAGTGGAAGCAAAATTTTACATGAATCAAAACATTTTTTACAAATAAAAAACTGAAAAGTGCGATGTGCAAAATTATTCAGCCCCCCTGAGTCAATACTTTGTGGAGCCACCTTTTGCTGCAATTACAGCTGCAAGTCTTTTAGGGTATGTCTCCACCAGCTTTGCACATCTAGTGACTGCAATTCTTGCCCATTCCTCCTTGCAAAACAGCTCAAGCTCAGTCAGATTGGATGGAGAGCGTTTGTGAACAGCAGTTTTGAGATCTTGCCACAAATTCTCAATTGGGTTTAGGTCTGGACTTTGACTGGGCCATTCTAACACATGAATATTCTTTTTTTAAACCACTCCATTGTAGCTTTGGCTTTATGTTTAGGGTCGTTGTCCTGCTGGAAGGTGAACCTCCGCCCCAGTCTCAAATCTTTTGCTGACTCCAACAGGTTTTCTTCCAAGATTGCCCTGTATTTGGCTCCATCCATCTTCCCATCAACTTTGACCAACTTCCCGGTCCCTGCTGAAGAGAAGCACCCCCAGAGCATGATGCTGCCACCACCATATCTGACAGTGGGGATGGTGTTTTCAGAGTGATGTGCAGTGTTCTTTCTCCGCCACACATAGCGTTTTGCATTGTGGCCAAAAAGTTCAATTTTGGTCTCGTCTGACCAAAGCACCTTCTTCCACATGTTTGCTGTGTCCTCAACATGGCTTCTGGCAAACTGCAAATGGGACTTCTTATGGTTTTCTTTTAACAATGGCTTTCTCCTTGCCACTCTTCCATAAAGACCACATTTGTGTAGTGCACGACTAATTGCTGTCCTGTGGACAGTTTCCCCCACCTGAGCTGTGGCTCTCTGCATTTCATCCAGAGTCACCATGGGCCTCTTGGCTGCCTCTCTGATCAGTGATCTCCTTGTTCGGCCTGTAAGTTTAGGTGGACGGCCTTGTCTTGGCAGGTTTACTGTGGTGCCATACTCTTTCCATTTCCGGATGATGGATTGAACAGTGCTCCGTGAGATGTTCAAAGCTTGGGAAATCTTTTTATAACCTAAGCCTGCTTTAAACTTCTCCAAAACCATATTCCTAACCTGTCTGGTGTGTTCTTTGGACTTCATGATGCTGTTTGCTCCCCAATATTCTCTTAACCAACATCTGAGGCCGTCACGGAGCAGCTGTATTTGTACTGAGATTAGATTACACACAGGTGGACCCTTTTGAGTCATTAGCAGTCATCAGGCAACTTCTGAATGCAATTGGTTGCACTCAGGGAAAAGGGGGCTGAATACTTTTGCACGTCGCACTTTTCAGTTTTTTATTTGTAAAAAATGTTTTGATTCATGTAAAATTTTGCTTCCACTTCACAATTGTATACCACTTTGTGTTGGTCTTTCACATTAAATTCCAGTGAAATATATTTATGTTTGTGGTTGTAATGTGACAAAATATGGAAAAGTTCAAGGGGTATGAATACTTTTGCAAACCACTGTAATTCAGCATTGAGGTTTTTATGCACACAGGCAAAGCAGTAGGAACTAGGGTTGGGCATAATCATATCGTGTGCAATTAATCGTCAGAAAAACATTAATCGATTAGTTTTTCGCACTTGACAATTAATACCATTAATGCCAGCAGGCAGAGTCCGCTCGCTGCTCCTCTCTGCTTCAAATATGACGAACATTAAAATAAAGTTCTGTAATTTATTTATCTATCAACACAATTAAAAATTAGATGTATAACCTTAAGTCTGTAATTTTGACACAGTTTGGAACAGATTTTTATGATGAGCAAATCTTTCCCACTAAATTAGTCATGTGACCAGGACATAAGGGTGTCCAGGGACTCCAGGGGATTAATCGTCAAATTAATCGTTATTGATTAAATACCACAATTAATCGTGATTTTTTTTTTGCCAATATTGCCCAACCCTAGTAGGAACTTATCCTTATATAAACTAAAATAAAAAAGTGAAAGCATTTTTGGTTGGGATTTTGCCTGAGTCATTGTTAAGAAATGTTAAGTGGGGGTAAATTTGTGAGAACGTGAAAAAGCAAATGTTAAAAACATTCTCTAAATGTGAATTAAGAACATTTGAAACAATTGTTGAAAGAGTTCTGTTTCAAGTTTCCATTTGAAATCATAAATGCACAAAGATGAGCCCAGAACGCAGCAAAATATTATTCAAATAAAGAATAATGACTTTTCTCCACTTAATTAAATTGTGTGCATTTTAACATTAAGAAGTTGTCAAACTGATCATTTCTCAGTAGGACCCAGTTTTCTTCTTCTTTTTACCCTGTTGCAAAGTGAAGAGGAGACTTGAAAACACTCTGTCTTGTGATCTGGATAGTTTGAAAAGTAAGTGAGGCACCAACTTCCATTTTGGTGTGTGGAAGCATCTAGCTGTAAAAAACATCTTTATCAAAGATTGGGTTGCCACATCAAAATCCAAGATGGCCGCTGGCATTTAAACGTAGCACAAAAAGTAAGAAATGAAGGAAGTTTGAGTTTGGTAGATTATTTATTTGATGTAACGATGCTTCTTGATAGTAAACCTTATAACGAGCAACTGATTGGAAACACCTGGGGTACCAGAAGCTCAAAACAAGTGTCGAACGCAAAATAAGCCGTATGGCAATATGCAGCCCACATACTCAGCTTTACTGCTCATCCCGCAGAATACAATATTCTCATAGAATACTTTGTTCTGTAAAAAGCTGAATGTCCTTTGTCAATCAGTGTTGCTTCCTAAGTGGACCATTTGATTTCACAGAAATTTGATGTACTTAGAGCTATTTCATTCATTCAGATCTAGGATGTGTTGTTTGAGTGTTCCCTTTATTTTTTTAAGCAGTATATTTTGGACTTACAAAGCTACGTCTGCACCTTGCAGGCCAGTGGCTGATATTTTGAGTTATTTGTACTTTAACTGTCTGTTTAAATAACTTCTTGCAGTTAAATCTGTATTATGTAATTTAATATTTATTATGTTTAAATGTATTAATGTTAAAATACATCTGAGTAAGCCATTGAGTTTGAGGTTCTAATTCATATGTTTCATGGGTCGAGATGTTAATTTGTTACGGGGACTTGTGGATAACAGGGTTGACATCCACAGGTATGATGAGCAGGTGAGCTGAGCTGTGTACCAGAGCTGGAACAGGAGATGCACCCACAGTCAGCATAGATGGATGTTGTGACAAAAATAACCGCTGACTAACTGACTAATTGAAACAGTAATCGCAGATTACTGTTTCATTAGTTGCAGCTCTAGGGTGACTGCAATTTTTTTATGAAGCCAGAGGAAAACAAAGAATAAATTGTGCAGGCTTTGATAGAGGTAAGTATTGATGTTACAGCTTCAGTAGCTGCTGTTGTGTATTGTTTTCACAAACTCCACTAACGGACGGTCTGTCAATCGATTTACGTAAAATTTGTAAGCAGCGTGGGGGTGACCGCATTTATTTTATGAAACCAGAGGAAGACACATGCAGAACTGACTGCGCTGGCTTGGATAGGGGAGGTGGTGGATTAAATTGCTTCCTCCACTCGCCAGAATCCATCATTGGCTACGTTCACACTGCAGGTCTTAATGCTCAGTTCCGATTTTTTGAAAAAATCCGATCTTTTTGTGTGAACGTTCACATTACATTTTAAATGTGACCTGCATCAGACCCCTGTGTGAACGCTCCACAGCACTGATGTGACACGCATGCGCAGTAAAAGACGTGATGTCTCATCAGCCGGCTTGTTTGTTTACAGAGCTAGCATGGATACTACATTTTGCGCATCGAATCGAAAGTTGTTGTTTAATCAGAGCCGATTAAATAATTATCTGACCTGCTTCTTTAGTTCAGTGTTTATATCTGAACCTGCCTCTGACCAGGATGCTCCAGTGAAGCTTTTTTTTAACGAAACTACGAGCTGGAAAAAAGTATCGACCGAGTAGCTAACTTTAGGATCGATACTCTCCGCGACCCAGGCTGGACATGTTATTATCATACTAATGAAAAGTAAAAGATGAAGCAACTGGACTTGTGTTTTGGAGCTGTAAACACATGGAGCTACAGATTTAAACAGCGAGACTTGAGGTTAGTGTCTTATCGATCCTTCACCCCCTCCTCCTGATGAAAAAGTCAGATGAATGTGACATGAGCGTTCACACTGCAGTCACTTTGAAATCATCAGATATRTATCCGATTTAAAACCACATACTGAAACGGCCTGGGTCGGATTAGAAAAAATCGGATTTGTCTCGTTCAGACTGTCATAAAGAAAATCTGATTTGGGTCTGATTTGCCTGCAGTGTGAACGTAGCCATTAAGTCGCCTCGGAAGGGGGAAAAAATACCTACCCCTGTTCTTATAATCAGTTTAAATATCTTGCACCAAAAACATTAAGGTTTACATGGATTCCTTGTTTAAGTCCAGTATAAGAAAAACTGCCATCTAAAACACTACAAACATTCACTATTAAAAGCAACAGGGGACATGGGTTTGCAACATACTCAACAAATGTTTTAGGTAAATACTTTACTTGGAATTATTTTTCTGAACTAGCAATATCAAAAATTAATAAAATTTTCTCCCTTTTTTGCATCTGTTAACTTACCGAGCTACTACCAAAAACTGGTCGATCTGTTTTTCTGTTAGTGAGCTGTTGGGGTCCCAAATCTTCTCCTCCAGTTTTGTCAGGTCCCTCTCATCATCTTCACCTGATATTACACAGAACAAACAAAAGAACACCTGTAATTCTCTGACATGTTCAAACAAGATCAATTACAAAGATATAAAAAAGATCAAATCTACAATGAATATCATATTTATTCCACTTTTTCCTATTAAAGAATACTTTGGTTAAAGCTGATTATTTAAAATTTAAATAATCAGTTTTTGCCATCATACTAAAAAATTACCAGACTTTAAAACACAGAGCAGAATTTTATTAACAAGTTATTTACAGAGCTCTTTGTCCCATGGTGCTGTCAATTAGGGCTGGGCGGTATGACCTCAAATTCATATCACGGTATAAACTGTACCCCTTCACAGTAACGGTATATATCGCGGTAGAAAATTATCATAAAAAGTAAAGATAATGAAATTTTTAGAGCATTTTTTTGCAGAGAACTGTAATCTTAATTAAACCCAGCATTTTTGCTTTAATATCTGCCTGCCAAACAATGAGCTTCTGCCTGCTGAACTTATCAGCTGCTGCTCTGCTGCGCGCTCATCTTCATCATCTTCAGTCGACTTTACATTAGCAAGATGGATTTATGGCTGAACGAATGTCGTCTTTTTTTATAAATCTCTGTGAGTAAAAATATTTTACAAAACAAGTTTTTTTCTCCGACAATTGGGTGTGGAAAAACTACAGTTGTTAAGCGTCGCTCTGCGCGACGTGCAGCGAGAGGAGAGGAGAGGAGAGGAAGAGATTATGACCCCGCGACTTGACGTAACTTTTCCTACTGCGGGTGGGGAATATTTTGAGGATTTAGTCTCTCTATACGTGTTTTAAAATGATAGAATTTCTTCATTATATTTCGAACTTCTCCTGCTCAGTTGTCTCTGTGCTCGCCGTTGACACAGGTCCGATGACGTAATGACAATATGACGGTAGAGCGTAAATTTCTACCGTAGGCCAACTTCATACCGTTTCTACCATCTACTGCATATACCGCGCAGCCCTGCTGTCAATGCATGTTCACAGGTTTAGAATTTTGTGAAAACACAGAAACCAGTATTTATTATTTTTCTGGACTAGTAAAGCAGTTTGGCCATGTTTAAAAAGAAAATTGTGAATTTGTGAATAAACTTTGACACACTAAGGTGCCATTTCTGTCAGGTAAAATTTACTTTCAGTGTCAACCTGATTCAAGAGGACCTCCAGATCTAATTTATAATAGACAACATGAAAATGTCTATAACTCTGTCAGGTTTACAGAAGTTGAGCTAAAATTTGGTGCGACTGTAGCTGAGAGCCTTCCTCAACACGTAGTCTCTCATGAGATCAGGCATAACGTCATTTATAAAGGTTTACCCAAAAAGACAATAACGCCTTCACTTCTCATCATAAAATCATAGTTTGAAACTTTGGCATAAAAGGCAGCAGGTGATATACATTAATTCTTAAAATTTGAGTTGAAAATATATAATTTTTAACTGTTCGAAATTAGACTAGCCTACGTGGGAGAAACTATCCAACAAGTGGAAAAAATATTTTTCTTGTTTGAGACTTTAAATGCATCAACTTAAACAAGATTCAAGTTAAGATGTACCTTCCCTTAGGAGGTCAGTGATGTCAGCCTGGTATTTGTTCCCAATGCGGATCTCCCCCTTATCAGCCAGCAGGGTCTTTTGCTGAGGGTCATACACCAGCGAGTAGAAGAAGGCATCCTGGGAAATACAGCAGGCAGGAAGGCAGGAGGATCGAGGGAAGGATCAGAAAAGAAGATGGGCAGGCAGAAATGGGTTAGAGCGTGCAGCATCTGTGTGAGTTTGTGTTTTTCTCTCTACTGGTCTCTCGTCGTCTCATTACTGTACGTGAAAAGAACATTCTGGGTCAACATGCTAAATAATTTATCTGGAAACAAGAATCTTTAAAGTCATAAGACTCAGACCTACACACTCTTAGATAAGTCTAGCGCACCTAATCACATATTTAAAAATCCCATGATCCCACAGGGCACAAACACCTGAGGCCAGGTGTATAGAATAAATTCATGATAAAAAATCTGAACTGAAAGCAAAACTGTAGATGTGGATTTTTCTTCACAGATCATGTTTTTTACCCCAGAAATCTCACAGATATGCCTTACCGATTTCATACTAAAGACCCCACATTTTCCTAACAGAGCACTTCGCTCTCAGACTGCAGGTTTACTTCTGGTTCCAAGTAGGGGCGTAAGAAAATACTGATACACTGAAATATCGCGATATTTCATTTCCTGATACTGTATCGATATTCTAAAGCCCTGTATCGATTTTTTTTTAAGCTTTAAAATGTCAACTTTCCTGCCAGCCGTTCATTTTCATGTTGTAGTTCAGCCTCTGACCACTAGTTGGCAGCAGTGAGCCAGACATTTGGCTACTCTACCTCTTGAGGTAGAGGCTATTGTTAAGTGTTGGGTGACCATATTGTAAATTAATATTAAAAACTAAAAGCTGCAAAAAATATATTTTCAAACTATTTATTGTCAAATTTAGTCTAATAATTGAAAACATGGATGAAATAAGAAATATTAAACAAATAAAATAAAATACATACAAAGCAGAACACAGCTAAATGTATCAAAAGCATGTTTATGTAACATTAGAATTTTCTGAGACAATGAATTTTGGTTTTCATTTTTTTTCCCCAGTAAGAGGTTTTTATTTAATAGAATTTTTGGACAAAAAAATCTCAAAATATCGCGATATATCGCCTTGCTTACAGTATCACAATATATCGGGATATATCGTATCGTGACCCCTCTGTCATGATTTGTATCGTATCGCCAAATTCTTGCCAATACACAGCCCTAGTTCCAAGAGTTCCTAAAAGTAGAATGGGAGGCAGAGCTTTCAGTTATCAAGCCTTCCTGTTTCTGTCCGTGAGGCTGACACACTGCTTTACTGAAGACTTTCCTTTCTGATAAAACCTATAAATAAATCCTAGGCGTGTTTTTCATACAATATGGGGAAACTTTTCCCAAAAAAAGCAGCCTTGTGGGGACTGAAGCGCATCCAAATGCAAATTACAGGTGTGGGGTTAGGTTTAGGACCAAGATTTAGGTTAGTTTTAGGGTCAGGTAGGTAGGGCTGGGCCATATCATATCATTCATGATAATACCGGTAAAAACAAGTTGCCCGGGAAAATAAATTATATCATGATATGCTAATTTCATGACCGACGTCATTTTGCCCATGTCGGAGAACCTGCTTGTTTTCTGTTGCGGTCTCGTTTAAGCCGCCCAGTCTGATGTAGGTTTAAACAGACGCTGCTTTCAACAAATCAAACGAACCCCACAGCTTTATCCAATCAGAGCAGCACAGGGCGGGTCTTTATGATGTCGCTGCAGCAGTCTGCAGGATAAACACCGGTCAGCCTGCAGCTCCTGTCCTGAGCGAGCAAACCCTGTCCTCCACACTTCGCTCCCACGCTACCTGAGACATTGGTATCTAAAATCTAACGCACTATAAGTTATGTGTTCAGAGCGTTGTTATCTAACGGATATGTCCAACTTTGCTCATGTGACCAAACTTCTCTCTTTGTCGACAGCACTGTTACAGGAGCAGGAGGTTACACTGTTGAAGCGTGTATACTCAGCACTATTTTTAGCAATGGAAGGAGACGAAGAGTCCCGAAAGGAGGCACTCAGAAAATGACAGAAATTGTGAAAAGTGTGGGATAACTTAAAACTAAGTAGAAAAGACGACAAAGCGCAATTCGCTGCACGTCCTTGTTTCTGAACCGGAACAAAAACAGCTGATGCATGTACTGAACACATCCGAAGTTAACAAGTATCGTTCACGTTCCCTTTCTTAACAGTGTAGCAGTTCTATGATCAAAACAAGCCTTAAGTGTGCAGCAACAGATTGAAAGCATGAGCTGAAACACATTTATCTGTTGAAATGCTTCTATCATAACTTAAATGCGATACCTGGAGTTAATATTTCAAGTTTAAATGTGTTTATAAAAAAATAGGATTTGTTTCATTTTTGTTGCTGCTTTTTTGACTTTGAAACCTGTCATTAGCCTTCATTTATTACACTGCTGTCATATTCGTCTATAGCTAACCAGTCTAAATATTTTATTGCCCAAAATGGGAACTTAATAAAACTTAATAAACATATGAATTTACTTTTACTATTAGCAATAACATTTGAACTATACAAAGCTCAATGTGCAACACCCAGATTTTTATATTACCCATTTTACTTACTAAATTTCTAACATAAAATATCACATTCGGCTTTCCAATCCATAAAAATTAATTACAATAATTTAGCTTTTTCAGTGATTGTTAAAAATGATTCAATGACAGTGCTTTTAAGTAATGCCTCCTCAAACCCCACACACATAAATACAAACAAGTGGAGCTTAAATTGCATGAATTAACTCATTAAATCATTAACTAATCTCAACTGGTATTGCAATTTTACTGCAGCAGGATCATCAGCAAGTGGGGATTACCCCTTCACAATTGTACTTTGTCACAAAATAAGCTCAAGTAATGACTGCAGAAGATGAGAATTTTTTCAGTCCGATTACTTGATTAATCGACAGAATAATCGATTAATCGATCGTCTAAATTACTAATAAGTTTTATATTTGTATCAATTTGTTAGCATTACAGTATTTACATGCTGAAAGAGGCTTCTAGTTGATTTTTTTTTTTAATTTCATCTTCAACGTAGATAGTCTTCAATATTTTCACAAGTTGGCATAAAATGCCTAATACGTTATAGTGTGACAGAGCCTTAACACATGCAGAATAGTGGGCCTCGGGGAACAAGGTTGGGGAACCACTGGTGTATTTGACCTTAGTAAAAGTACATAGTTTAGTGTTCTCTAATGAAGGTTTGAAGTTGTAAGAAGAGCCTTGTTTAATCTACACTGGCTGATGACATTCTGAAGGAAGAAAGAGTTTTAAAGGAGACCAATTATGGGCTCTAGAAATTTTTATGGTATGTCTGTGGGCTATCCAGACCATGTTCATTCAATTTAATGCACAAAATAATTCTCAGATAATATTTATATATTTATTCTTTTAATATTGATTTTGGCAAAAAGAAAAACCTAAAATCCCTATCTCAAAAAATTAGCATATTTCATCCTACCAATTAAAGAAAGTGTTTTTAATACAAAAAAGTCAACCTTCAAATAATTATGTTCAGTTATGCACTCAGTACTTAGTGGGGAATCATTTTGCAGAAATGACTGCTTCAATGCGGCATGGCATGGAGGCAATCAGCCTGTGGCACTGCTGAGGTGTTATGGAGG